CGATACGATCTAACCCTGCTGTGCATCTTACCTGAACTCACGAGCCAACTGGGCTATCGCGCTCTCCTCAGGACGCAGCTCACCCATAGACGAATCCCTCCGGCCGACATCTCCCCCCACGTCTCCGAGACCCTTGTTGCCGTCGGTGTTGATTGTGGCGCTTCTCTGGCTGGCTGTCACATCGGTGCTCGTGTTCGAGGTGACCGACCCCCGTCTTTCGTCGCCGTGTGCTGCGGTCGTAATGCGCTCGCCTAGAGAGACTGCTGTTTTCTTCTGAATCTCATGCTGTTGATCGGACTGTAAGGATGGGGAATCTGATGAGAAACTGGATGAGAGGCCTAGGATGACCGGCGCGTTTGCCCATTCATCGCCGGTCGGTTGAGGGGGCCTCTGAGCAGCCGGCGCTGCTCTCCATCCCCCATCTCCAGCCCATCTCAGGCCCTCTCCTCTCGAAGACATTGCTTCATCTCCAGCCGATTGAGTGATTCTCGCGCCCTCGCCTCTCGGAAACATGGATAATCCCGGACGAGCAAAAGAGATGAAGAACAGATGATCTGATGCACGTCGCACGCTTCGAACTTCTCCAGGAAGCCTCACGAATGGACGATCCACGAATGGCGAGTCGTCAGCTATAGGGTTCCATGGCTAGGGTTCAGCTCGCATTCCTGATGGTTTCAACTCCTCGTCGTGTTCGACGAAGTCCGCATTTTGATGCTCATTCGATTTCTTCACACCTACTATGCCGCGCAAGGCGAGGCTTTCCTGCCTCTCTCGTCGTCACCATCCGCCTCCCCCTCCCCCCAGGCCATCACCTCCCCCCTGGTGCTGCTATCGAGGATGACTCCAGGCCAGCTGCTGCGCTTGATTATCACAACCATTGGGGCCGTCGTCATACTTCAGTTCCTCATGCCCCTCAAGATACGCCAGATTCCAGAGCATGAGGAGCCCAACGACCACCACCACCGGCTGCACGAGGCCACCCTCTTCGCACCCATGACCGTCGCGGGCTCAGAGCTGCGGACGCTTCTCTGGAAGGTCCCGAATGTGCTGCGGGCATCGTCCACACCCTCGCCCTCGACCAGGCCCGACCGGCGCCAGAGAACCGGCAGGAGCAAGGCGAGCAAGACGGCTCTGAAAGGGCAGAATGGGCAGACAAGAACAAGACGCGAGTCGACTGATGATGCTGCGTCACGGCAGAAAACCGCAAGCAGCAAACAAGAAAGCGGCACACCGGCGGTGGGTCAGGCGGACATTTTGGCACCGCCTGAGCCCCCGAGGAATGCCTCTGACGCTGCACCGGCACCGGAGCGTCCTGCCCTTATTAGAGCAGATGAGGCGCTCGCTGCCGGGGTGCACTCTGACAACGACACTGCAGTAGACGAGACGGGCGATGATATCAGAGATGGCCAGGGCAGTGATGATGTGCAAGGCATCGACAAGGGGGAGGGGGAGGGAGGTTCTGCCGTTGCCGATGAGGCAGGAACTGAGGGAAGTGTTGCTGTCGCAGCCTAATAGTTCGCCTGAGCGATGGATAGATGGATGGATGGATGGATGAACCGCGCCGTGTTTTGGACGTTTTTCTGTCGGTGTCATCGGGGGTGGGTGGGTGTCTGGTAGAGTAAGCAAGCAACACACACTGGTCTCTCTTTTCTCCTCTTGAGTCGTTTCTTGCTCTCGTCGCCTTTTGCTCGGGCGATGATGGTTCTTGGCTGGCTGTGTGCACCCTTCCCTCCACCCAGTCAGTACTCTCTCAGAAGTCAGGTGCGTCTGCCTGCGATGGTGTGGGTGTTGGTGTGTATAGAGCATGCTGATACAGCTAAGCTAGGGGGTGAGTGGAGTGAGTGGAGGGAGGGAGGGATGGCAGGGATGTGCGGTGGACGTCATTGCTTGCTTCATTTGATATTATTGAATGGGGGGGTGGGTGGGTGTTATCGTTAATCGATTGAGCACATGCTGCAGTTGTACAGCCGTCATTTGGACCTTTCTCTGTCTGTCTGAATGGAATCCAATCCAATCCAACAGTGTCGCCACTTGCTCCGCGCTGTGCTACCCTCGCATCATATCCCTCGCCCCTCACACGAAACAACAGAGAGGTCCGCCCACCCAAGCCTATGGACACCCACACACATACATTTCTCACTCCTCCCTCCCTGCCCCTGATCCCTCCATCTCTCCCTGGCCCCCATGCTGATCGCCATTGGCCGCTGCACTGCTGCTGCTAAAGCCCCTCTCCATCAGGATCCGTTCCACCATGTCGTCAGTTATGCGAATCGACCGGATACTCTCCTCCTCGTCACAGCTCGACGGTTGAAGACCTGCAGGGGCGTCACTGTAGCTGCTGGCTGAAGGCGGGGCATTGTGTCGGTCGCTGGGCGGCGGCACTTGGGCGGATAAGACGACAGGCTGACAGGCAGAGACGAAACCACACGCACAAATGAGGATAAGACGGAAGTGGTGTGTGCGACATGAAAGGGGGGGACACTGTCTCACCGGCTCCGACGGCATCGCAGGTCCACTGTCGTTGCCCCTCTTGGTCCGCCCCCTGAGAAACCCGCCCCCACCACCAACACCACCAGCCCCAGCCCTCCTTCGCCTCTCATCTGGCTCCCTGTTGTTGTCACTCCTCTGCCGCCGAAACATCATCCCCAGGTGGCCTCCCGCCTTCCTCGGGGTGTCCACCAAGACTTGCCCATGCCCATGCCCGTGGTGCTCCCCCACACCCACGGTTGCGCTTGTATCGTGCGGCTCTGTGGGGGCGGAGAGTGCACGTGACAGCCGGACGGCGTGGCTCTCGCCGGGCGTGTGGCTGCGCTGGAAATGGCGTGCGATGGCAAGGATGTTCTGCATGGTCGAGTGCCGCATCGGCTTGGTCTCGTCGGCCGCCGGAGCGCTCGAGTGACGCACGCTGCTCTCCTCTGGCACGGGCGCCATCAATGAGGACGGCGGCACCACCATGGACGACCCCCACAGCTGGTACATCACCCCGCGCCCCTCCCTCGGCTCACTCCTGCGCGGCTTGCGTGTGGCCGAGCGGTCGGTCATCGGGCCGCTGTTGTTGGATTCGCTGCTGGGGATGCGGGCATGGGTGGCCTCCGTCTGGCTCTGGGCCTGTGTGACGGGGGGCTGTGTGGAGAGGGACGATAGGTTGCGCATGTGGGTGCGATACGACTCGTGCTTGGGGGCGGGTGGCAGGGGGAAGGGCAGGCCGAAGGGGAAAGGTGCGTACGCGGCGGCAGCAGCGGCGTGCAGCTGACGCAGGTCGACATCCGTCATTGGTCCGCCACAGCCACCAGTAGAAGTCTCACCATGCTCCTCTCCCTCTCCCTCTCCCTCTTCTTGCGCCTCTGGACCGACCCGCCTGCACGTCCCGCTCTCGCCAAAGTCACGGAACACACCCTCAGGGTCCCCCTCGCGGCCGCGAGTGTTGTCTGAGGACGCTGGGCCGTCTCGGATGAGCTCAGCCGCAGGGACGGCAGCCAGGGGGTGGCTGTCCCCGCTGCTGGACGAGGAGGACGGCTGGGGACCCACAGACGGCTGGGAGGGCTGGGTGGGAGTGGGAGTGAGGGACGTGGTGGGAGTCTGCAGCCGAGCACTGCACACATCCATCCATCCATTGATGGGTGGAGTGTGTGTGTGCGTGTGGGGCATCCATACATGATAGGGCTGGCATCGGGGATTGGTTCGTCGCCACGGATGAAGGGGTCGTCCAACAGAGCCGTCGCAGTCGGGCGGCTGGCAGCACGGAGGGTCAGGCACCTGCAGCCACACACACACACAGACAGCTACATGCACACACGCAACACGATTTCGATGCAAGGCGTGTGTGTGTGAACCTTGACTGACTGACTTGCTGACCTCTGCACAAAGTGTGCGAACTTGTGCGAGAATCGCTCAGGCATCCTCAGGTCCCTGGGGGGTCGCCTCTTGATCAGCAGCATCGTCTGCAACAGGCAGGCGCCTTGCCTTGTCCGTCTTTGCGTGGCTGTCTGCGAGTCTGGCTCACCTCGTATGCCGGGCGCGTGGGGCTTGCGTACGGCGGGGCGCCCTCGGCCAACTCCACACACGTAATGCCCAATGACCATATGTCAGCCTGAGGAGGGAGGGAGGGACACACACAGACAGACACACATCACACGGACGGGAGTCGTCAGCTGTGTGCGCGTCGCGTCTTGGCCGCATTAGTCCGTGCAGGCGGACGTACTGCGCTGTCGTATTGGCTGCCATCGATCACCTCAGGCGCCATCCAGTAGGGCGAACCTGACAGACGACACACAATCAGCGTCCGTCAACACATCTGCTGTGTCGTAGCTGACCTCCCATTCCCCTCCCCTCACCCATGTTAGGCGTCTTGCACTTCTCAGCACTGCTCGCCAGCCGTGCAGACACACCAAAATCTGCTGCACCCGTAACAGCCCCCCGCCCGCCGCCGCCGGACAGCACACCACACCACACCCATGCCATTCAGTGACGCATTTGCCCGAGGCATTGCACTTACTGATTTTGATGTGTCCGTGTTGGTCGAGCAGCATGTTGGCGGCCTTGATGTCACGGTGGACCAGGTGGCGGGAGTGGAGGTACTGCAGCGCCACCAGGGTGGCGTGTGCGGCGTGGCGGATGTCGGCCTCGGTGAACCGGATGCGCCGGTCGGCCATGAGGTCGTGCAGGGACCCATACTTGCAAAACTCCATTACCATCTGCACACACACAACACAACACAACACAACACAACACAACACAGCACACCACACCACACCACACCACACACCCATGCCATGAGAGAGAGGTGGGGGAAAGGCCTGGCCAACAAAGCTGTCTGTCCTTCTCTGTCGCCCACCCACCCAGAGCATCACTCGGGTCTCGTGTGCGCGGTAGAAGTGTACGATAGCGGGGCAGTCCCTGCACTGCACCATGATGTCCACCTCTTTGTCGGCCACCTCCACCTCGTCGCCGTCGTCGGGGTCGTACGACACCACCTTGATGGCGCGCGTCTCCTCCCGGCCCCTCAGCTTCGCCCGATACACCTGACCGCTCGTCCCCTGAGGGAACCAACAGAACGACACAAGACAGCACAACACAGACACTCCAGGAGTGAATGCAGCAAGGAGAGCAGCAGAAAGGCCTGCCTGCCTCGTGCGGGCTGCCTACGCTTCCCAGTTCCTGATGCAATTCATAGATAAGGTAGGGGTCGATGTCGTCGTCGTCTTCATCCACTGTGACAGCCTCCTCATCCTCCTCATCCTCCTCATCCTCCTCATCCTCCTCATCCGCGGGCCGCTGTTCTGCGTCGGCCGCCGTGCTCATGGTCGTCTCTCAGATTTGATGGATTGCGATGATTGAGGGGCAGAGGGATGCTCGCTCGTCCCAATATAATGGCCTCCCAAAACGTCCCTGAACTGAAAAAGGCGATCGCCTTAAGCTCGCACGAGGGAGGAGAGATCTGCAGGTCAGAGAAGCAGCTCCCTCGATGGTGCCATGTCCGCTGTGCTGGATCTGTTTCACCACCTTGATCTCGTGCGCATCTGCCAGCAGCCGAAGAAAGACGGACGTCTTCTGGCATGCACCATTCTTCAGGTGGGTGCCACGCCAGCATTCATGCCATGCAGCCAGCGAGCTGTGTCCGTTCCACGAATGCACTCATACACTCTTAATTTCTTTGCTGTTGTCTGTCTGTCTGTCTGTCTGTCTTGGTGCAGCGGCGGTGGTGAGATCATCATTAATGACGCCATTCCACTGCAGTCACTGCAGCGCGCCATTGGTGGCATCTGTCTGTCTGTCTGCAGGCTACGGCAGCGAGGCCATCAGCTACGCCTTGTCCCTCCTGTCGCTGCCCGCCTTTCGCGGGAACTTCACCCTCCACCTGGTGCAGCACGGCGACTCGTGGAACCCGCAGGCCATGGAGGCCATGGCTGAGGCGCTCATCGACAAGTTTCTGTACCCACATATCGACACCGCCCCACGCATCCCCCGCCTAGCGGAGCGAGAGAGGGCCATCGTCATCTGCCACAGGTCAGGTGGTCAGCTGGCCAGTGGCTGACCTATGCACCGCACCGAGAAGCTGAGTCGCCTCTCTCTCTCTCTCCCTCTCTCTCTCTCTCCCTCTCTCTCTCTCTTTGTGTTGAGTGCAGTGAGCCTGGTGCGTGGTCTCCTGCGCTGTACGAGTCGCCTGCCATGTGCCCGCCGAGCGAGGATGCCTACGCCGACCCGCGGGTCGTGACTGTCGGGCGTACCATGTTCGAGACGGACAGGCTGCCCGATGGATGGGCACACAGACTTGACAGGTACACAACAGACACACAGACAGAGGGAGAGAGAATGAGTGAGCCGAGTGAGAGGGTGCGTTTAGATTCCCTCCTGAATGCCCGTCTCTCTCTCTCTCTCTGTGTGTGTGTGTGTGTTCGTCAGGATGGACGAGGTGTGGGTGCCCACCGGCTGGACGGCCGAGCAATTCGTCGATGGCGGGGTGCAGCGGGCCAAAATCCGGGTGCTGCCCGAGGCCGTCGACACATCCTTCTGGGACGCATCGCTCGTCACCGATGAAGACACACAAGACGTCACCACACTCATCCAGAGGTCCGCAGGAACGTGATCACGCCGCCATGGCACTCCTGTATGCCGTCGCCCTGTGCGCTCGCGTGTGTGTGTGTGTGTGTGTGTGTCTGGTAGGGCGAGGAAGGTGCAAGACAAGAGGCCGGCCCGGCGGCTTGCTGCCCAGCGGCTGCACCCCTGCAAGAGGCCTTTTCTGGCCGTCGGCAAGTGGGAACCGAGGAAAGGTGAGCACCGGGATAGGGACGGGGGCAGAGCAGATGGGATGGGTGGATGCGTGTGGGGAGCATTGCATGCAGTACTGTGGAGGCAGTCAGTCATGTGACGCTTTCTGCATTCCTAATCCACGTATGCCACACTGATACAATACAAACAAGGCAGGCGATCGAAGAGCTGGCGACTTGAGCTTTCTCGCCGGGCACACCCACGCCTGCCACACCTCACCCCTCTCCCCCCCCCCCC